GGCATATGTGCTGAGCAACTAAGCTGCATGTATACCGGCATATGTGCTGAGCAACTAAGCTGCATGTATACCGGCATATGTGCTGAGCAACTAAGCTGCATGTATACCGGCATATGTGCTGAGCAACTAAGCTGCATGTATACCGGCATATGTGCTGAGCACACTCCTCAATGGATGCGAGTAGTGGACCACATACTCGAAACACGAAAGAAAGCTGAATGGCGTCCACCTCAGATGCCTGCGCCACACCAAGTACATTAAATGGCAAGACAAAGTCTCCAACATGGATGTACAGTCCCAAACAAACATGTGTAGCGCCCCAGCCATGTTAACCCAAAGACGCCTCTGCTGGCTTGGACACGTCAAGCGAATGCAACCTGGTCACATACCCAAGGACGTGCTACACAGCGAGTTGGTGACATTGCAAGGGTCAATTGGACGGCCTCGTCTGAGATACTTACACATATGCAAAAGAGACATGAAGTCGGCCAACATCGACATCTCAAACTGGGTGGACCTGCAGAGGATCAATCCACATGGCTGGACATCTTTAAGGGAGGATCACTAATGCCGAGGAGCAAAACAGGGCGGAAACAGCTGCAAAAAGAGCGAGGAGGAAGGCCAGTAAATACTGCTCCAACGACTTCGTGTGTGGGAAATGCAACAGAGACTGCCTCTCGAGCAATGCTTCTGCTGACAAGATCAAAAGCCTTAGTGAGGTCGAGAAACGCAATGTATAAAGGCATATGTGGCTCCTTGCATTTCTCCTACAGCTGGCGCAGAGAGAAGATCATGTCTATGGTTGACCTACCGGCGCGAAAACCACATTGCGATTCTGGGAATACACGCGATGCTAGGGTCTGTAGGCGTGTTAATGCAACTCGGGTGAAAGCCTTTCCAACTATGCTGAGGAGGGAGATTCCACGATAGTTGTTGCAGTCACTCTTATCTCCTTTATTTTTATACAATTTAAAGATGTTTGAATCTTTCAACTCTTGTGGTACCTGTCCCTGTTCCCAAAACAGAGTAAGGAGATCGTGCAAGGGCCGTACTAGTACTCCTTTTCCACATTTTAGAGCTTCTGGTGGGATACCATCATTGCCGAGGGCTTTCCCACTGGCGAGAAAATCGATGACTCTACGTAGGTCTTCTATGGTGGGTAGGGTATCAAGCTCCTCCATGACCGGTAAGTCTTGGATATCGTCCAGGTCAGCGGTTGAGACATGGTTTATCGTTGCGTATATTTCCAAATAGTGCTCTATCCAGGCTTTAGTTGTTTATCTCGATCAGTAGTAATTTCCCCTGATTTGGACATTAAGGGCGCAGTCTTGGAGATCAGAGGGCCTGTTGCTTGCATTATATTCTCGTATATTGGCTTTGCATCATCTCTAGACATACCGCAGGTTATAGTTGTCTAGACATACTGCTGGTTAAAGTTGGCTAGATATACTGCAGGTTTAAGTTGGCTAGACATACTGCAGGTTAAAGTTGGCTAGACATACTGCAGGCTATAGTTGTCTAGACGTACTGCAGGTTATAGTTTTCTAGACATACTTCAGGTTATAAATGTCTAGACATACTGCTGGTTAAAGTTGGCTAGACATACTGCAAGTTATAGTTGTCTAGACATGTTGCAGGCTATAGTTGTCTAGACTTACTGCAGGTTATAGTTTTCTAGACATACTTCAGGTTTTAGATGTCTAGACATACTACAGGTTATATTTGTCTTAGCCCACACCAAGACTGCCCAATATCTTGTTGTTTCACTTTACATTGCCCACATCAAGACTGCCCAATAGCTTGTTGTTTCACTTTACATGGCCCAAATCAAGAATGCCCAAGAACTTGTTGTTTCACTTTACATTGCCCACATCAAGACTGACACATAGCTTGTTGTTTAACTTTACATTGCCCACATCAAGACTGCCCAATAACTTGTTGTTTCACTTTACATTGCCCAAATCAAGACTGCCCCATAGCTTGTTGTTTCACTTTACATTGCCCACATCAAGACTGCCCAATAACTTGTTTCACTTTGCATGGCTCACATAAAGACTGCACAATAGCTTGTTGTTTCACTTTACATGGCTCACATAAAGACTGCCCAATAACTTGTTGTTTGACTTTGCATGGCTCACATAAAGACTGCCCAATAACTTGTTGTTTCACTTTACATTGCCCACATCAAGACTGCCCAATAACTTGTTGTTTCACTTTACATGGCTCACATAAAGACTGCCCAATAACTTGTTGTTTCACTTTACATGGCTCACATAAAGACTGCCCAATAACTTGTTGTTTCACTTTACATTGCCCACATCAAGACTGCCCAATAACTTGTTGTTTCACTTTGCATGTCTCACATAAAGACTTCCTAATAGCTTGTTGTTTCACTTTACATGGCTCACATAAAGACTGCCCAATAACTTGTTGTTTAACTTTACATGGCCTACATCAAGACTGCCCAATAACTTTTTGTTTCACTTTACATGGCTCACATAAAGACTGCCCAATAACTTGTTGTTTCACTTTACATGGCTCACATAAAGGCTGCCCAATAACTTGTTGTTTCACTTTACATGACCCACATTAAGACTGCCCTATAACTTGGTATTTCACTTTACATGGCTCACATAAAGACTGCCCAATAGCTTGTTGTTTCACTTTACATGGCTCACATAAAGACTGCCCAAGAGCTTGTTGTTTCACTTTACAATCCTCACATAAAGACTGCCCAATAACTTGTTGTTTCACTTTACATGGCCTACATCAAGACTGCCCAATAACTTGTTGTTTCACTTTACATGGCCTACATCAAGACTGCCCCATAGCTTGTTGTTTCACTTTGCATGACCCACATCAAGACTGCCCAATAACTTGTTGTTTCACTTTACATGGCCTACATGAAGACTGCCCAATAGCTTGTTGTTTCACTTTACATGGCTCACATAAACACTTCCCAATAACTTGTTGTTTCACTTTACATGGCCTACATCAAGACTGCCCAATAACTTGTTGTTTCACTTTACATGGCCTACATCAAGACTGCCCCATAGCTTGTTGTTTCACTTTTCATGACCCACATCAAGACTGCCCAATAACTTGTTGTTCCACTTTAAATGGCCCACATCAAGACTGCCCAATAACTTGTTGTTTCACTATAAATGGCCCACATCAAGACTGCCCAATAACTTGTTGTTTCACTATAAATGGCCCACATCAAGACTCCCCGATAACTTGTTGTTTCACTATAAATGGCCCACATCAAGACTGCCCAATAACTTGTTGTTCCACTTTGCACGGTGCACAACAACACTGTCCAATGACGTATTGTTCCATTTTGCACGGTGCACAACAACACTGTCCAATGACTTGTTGTTTCACTTTACATGGTTCACATCAACACTGTCCAATGACTTGTAGTTCACAATGTTATAGGCGTTTCTGGAATGCGTCTTACGTTGCCTATATACGGGGTTCAGAGAACATTAATGGAACTGAGATCAAGCAGATATATTTTTTTATCTTTATGACAACAGTGTTTTCAGTTAATGTTTATCTGCATACTCATATGTGTTTATTCGCATTCATCATTGTACATTATTAATTGGCAGTTTGTAAGAACTGTGTACCGGTAAAGACATCCAACAAGCTGTAAGTTGATTATTGTAATTATGTATCTATTGCTTTGTAATTACATGAATACTTAAATAAATTGTATTAATTGTAATTAGCAACTGTTTTGAGTGTCTTAATTTTGCTATTGTATTTCTGTTATGGTATTGTCCTTTGGTATGCACTGTTTGAACGAGCCATACAAATAAAATAAGAGATTGAGTTCTCACCAAAGAAGTCAGAGCTTAACAGTGTGTTTGTGTGTGGGTGTGTTTGTGCATGTGTGTATTTGTGTATGCATGTTCGTATGTATGTGATGATGTAATGATATGTCAATTAGTGCCGAGAACAAAATCCCCTTTTTTGGAATTAACTATTATTCCTAGATCGCATGCTACATATGTGTATGTTTGTACAACTAATAAGCAAACAGATGAGAAATTCACGCTCTGTCGCTCCTACAGTAAGTCTGTTTATTTGGAATACATTAAAACACATTGTTCTTAGAACAAGAGAAACATTCAGGGATTGCTTGGTTTTCAACATGTTTTACAACAAGATTAATGTATTTGCTCTAATATTTTATTGTAATAAGTTATTGATTTTCTGTCTCGCCTAAATAACACTACACTGGGCTGAATGACGTTCAGTTATTGCTTCACTAACACTCCACTGGGCTGAATTAGTACAATATAAAACAGTGTTTATTGCGGACTCTGCAAGCAGAGCATATTACTACATTTGGAATGATAAGATTACAATATACTACAGTGTTCATTGTGTATTCTGCAAGCAGTGTAGATTTATGGACTAAATGCATACTCAATGAATGATAAAAACACAATATTTACAAAAATGCAGCAAATGTGTGAATTATAATCTCAGCCTCAAAAACAAACATAAAAAATGCCACCTATTTTAATGAAATCAAAATTATTTGTTTATTGGAAAGAAATAACTTGGATACATATCGCCTGCCAGTGTTACATATGTCAACAAATATTTTTGTATAGTTACAGAACAACAAATATAGTTACATAATTGTAAATGAAATAGCTATGTACGACACCAGGCCCGCCAGCACCCACTAGTCACACCCCGCCAGCACACACTTGTCACATTTTGCCAGCACCCACTTGTCACAGTCCGCAAGCACCCACTTGCTGCAGCCTGCAAACAAACACTTGTCACAGCCCACCAGCACCCAATTGTCACAGCCCTCCAGCAACCACTTGTCACAGCCCACCAGCACCCACTTGTCACAGCCCACCAGCACCCACTTGTCACAGCCCACCAGCACCCACTTGTCACAGCCCACCAGCACCCACTTGTCACAGCCCACCAGCACCCACTTGTCACTGCCCACAAGCACCCACTTGTCACAGCCCACCAGCACCCACTTGTCGCAGCCCACAAGCACCCACAAGTCACAGCCCGCCAGCTCCCACTTGCTGCAGCCTGCAAGCAACCACTTGTCACAGCCCCCAGCACCCACTTGTCGCAGCCCGCAAGCACCCACTAGTCACAGCCCGCCAGCACCCACCTGGCGTAGCCCGTCATCGCCCACTTGGTGGCCTGCAAACTAACGAAATTGTCTCACCATCTCTTGTTCAATTTCTTATTTTTAAGTAATACTATTTAAAATAGCTTTAAAAAAAACTCTGTTGTAAAGTCTGGCGTTGACAGTCCAGTTTTAAAAAACAAACAAATGCATTTAGATTTGAAGAATAAGAAAGAAAAGAAGAAAAAAACAATAACAAAGACAAGCTGATAACAAGGACATAATGGTAACAAAGACATAATGATAAAAAAGACATGATGATAACAAAGACATGACGATAACAAAGACATGATAATAACAAAGACATGATGATAACAAAGACATTGTGATATCAAATACATGATGATAACAAAGACATACTGATAATACAGACGTAATGATAACAAACACATGCTTATCTGAAGATTAAAATCCTGAACCTCAACATTGATACATCGATCTATTTTTCACATATGTAATAAAGATGAACGGGTGCATAGCGAAACGAGCAAGGAAAGTCCCACACGCAAGCTTGATGCTTATTGTAGGCCACGCAGTCTTCATCATTTTGATTATTGGGTTCTCCATTGCACCAGTCGAAGTATTTGGCACTTTTTCCTGTCCTGTCATACACCCAATGCCCCTCCTTGAGCTTGTCCGAGCCTGCTATAAGTAGGCCAAGAGTGTTGAGCCTCGCCATCATTGCGATGACTCGATTGCCTTCTGCTTTATCGTCTATCTCAGCCAGATATGCACACAGTGTTGTACACGTAGCCGCAGCGTCAGCAACCGTACTGTAACTGTCTTTAGAGATATAGTATGTCTTCCCTAAATCTTCATATTTGACAAATAAGTCCAGATTTTTCATGTAGGGCTTACAGCCTATATACGAAAGAATCAACACATGTAAAGTAAATTGAGGAAGGCGCTTAACGATCAAATTGTGTATAGAGTAGAGATCGAACATTTAAAGGCGATATATTTAAAACCTGCTTAGACGAAGTGATAGTGGATAAAGATTTGAAGAACTGAAATGTAATTTGTTACAAATTCAGGACGGTTGGGGTGCATTGGTGACTTGGTTCAATAAAGAGCTTATTGGGCTGAACTCTTTGATACTTAAGTAGGCTTTACAGGACAGAGCTTATTGAGCTGAACTCTTTGATACTTGAGTAGGCTTTATAGGACAGAGCTTATTGAGCTGAACTCATTGATACTTAAGCAGACTTTACAAGACAGAGCTTATTGAGCTGAACTCTTTGATACTGAAGCAGACTTGACATGACAGAGCTTATTGAACTGAACTCATTGATACTTAAGCAGACTTTACAGGACAGAGCTTATTGAGCTGAACTCTTTGATACTGAAGCAGACTTGACATGACAGAGCTTATTGAGCTGAACTCATGGATACTTAAGCAGACTTTAAATGATAGAGCTTATTGAGCTGAACTCATTGACATTCAAGCAGATTTGTCTTGGAGTGGTTGTTTCGGGTGGCGTTGACATTGCCTCAGTTTAAAGACTTTCCAAAACAACACTATTTTGATTGAAGTAAAAGAAAAAAGTCGTTACGTCTGGCATTTTGTTGAGACTTTTTTGTGAAATAAACTACTTGATACGAACAAGACGTAAATTTTTTTTAGGTTGATTGTTAACCTGTCAAAAAAAATTCAACTACAATAATAAGTACGGATTAAACATCCAACTTTCAACAATGGATACACACCAGTGTTGTAACTATTATTTTGTTTCTAGTCAAATACATGTTTTCTTGGATTATTACTTTTAGTTATTTATCGACTTCAGTTCTAGGAAAGTTTAATAGAAATTCAAGTAAATAGTACTTACGAGATCCATGTCCAGATCCAGGTCCAGATCCAGATCCAGGCCCAGGTCTAGGGAATCGAGTAACTGATCCTGGTCCTGTAAGAGGATACATTTGGAGACATACTAGGTTATAAAATAGATATGTATTATTAAAAACATGTTATGAAATAGACTTCTCTTACTTCAAACATTTTATAAAATAGACATGTTTCATTACAAACAATTTTTTTTTTAATGTCTTTAAAACCATTTTCTTTTGAAAAAAATAATGTATATAAGCACATTTTATTATTTGACAATCTTAATTTACAATGCTGACATTTAATATAAAATAAAAAAGTTAAAATTAATATATAAATAAATATGTATTTGTATAAAATATATATATATGTATATGTATATTTACATATATATATGTATATAGATATATATATAAATTAAACTAATAAAACAAAAGTAATAGTCTTTCAGGCATGCGTGTCTATATGGTAGCTGTCGAGTATGAGCATTCATTAGTAATTGTTGCGACTCAATATTATGTTCATTAGTTGTTGAACACTTTTCCCGCGCTTGACTATTATAGTTAGTGAACGCTCTTCCCGCCATTGTCTCTATGACGTATTTTTATGCTGAGTCGTGACGTATTGTCTATGCAGTGTTGTGACGTATGTTGTAGTCGTGCGGCAGTCTTGAGTGGAACCTTGGAGTGATAGGATGTTTATTATATTTACTTAGATATTAAAGTTATAGTTATTATGAAAAGGAGTTGAGTTTGTTAATTGATAGTGAGAATAGTACGACGCTTCAACGTATGAAAGAACTGACGAATGTAATCAATCCAAGAAGACGTGTAGGAGTTGACATGGGGGCTTCTCATCCGGGATTGGTGAACCTTGTTATTTTCATACTTGAGGTAAAGTACAAGAACATTCTTATTATTCAACTTTAGTGAAGTTACAACCATCGTCGCATGTTCCCGTGATTCAATGTCAGAGCCACGCTGCCACCGTGTGTCAAGTTTATGTGAGTTGCATACGCCAGTAACTCAATCAACCACCTACGTCCTGTATTAGGCTAGTCCTAACCTGCTACAGGCCAACTTCGCATGGCCCTTATTCAAGTTAACAACGTTTCGTTTGTAGCAAGATACTAACCTCGTGTCCAGTTCCAGTGAAATGACTACGTCCTGTCCTGTATGAAGTTACCAATGTCGTGCCCAGTTATAGCAAATTAACTACGCCCTGCCCGTAATCAAGTTACCAACGTCCTGTTCAGTTCCAGTGAATTAACTACGCCCTGGCCGTTATCAAGTTGCCAACGTCCTGTTCAGTTCCAGTGAAATAACTACGTCCTGCCCTGTATGAAGTTACAAATGTCTTGTCCGGTTACAGCAAATTAACTACGCCCTGTCCGTTATCAAGTTGCCAACGTGCTGTTCAGTTCCAGTGAAATAACTACGTCCTGCTATGTATGAAGTTACCAATGTTGTGTCCAGTTACAGCAAATTAACTACGCCCTGCCCGTTATCAAGTTGCCAACGTCCTGTTCAGTTCCAGTGAATTAACTACGGCCATCGCTGTATCGAGTTATCTATGTCCTGTCGGTAGTGAGCTACCCACTTCGTGTTCAGCTCCAGTGAATTAACTACGCCCCTCCACGTATCGAGTTATCTACGTTCTTTCGGTAGTGAGCTACCAACTTCGTGTCCAGGTCCAGTGAAATCCCCAGCCCCGATCTTCATCAAGTTGCCAACGTCCATTTGAGCTCCAGTGAATTAACTACGCACTTCCCTGTATCGAGTTATCTACGTCCTGTCGGGGGTGAGCTACAAACTTCGTGTCCAGTGAGTTGTGATGTCCTGTGGCCCTGTCCGGTCACCCAGTTGATCAACGCCCTGTCCTGCTTCAACGAGCCACCAACGTCCCGTCCCGCATCAAGCTTCCTATGTCCGATCCTGTATTGGTGAGTTACCCACGAACTGTCCAGTGTCGGCGATTCGCCTACATTATGTCCAGTGAGCTGCCGATGTGCCGTGACCCGTCCCGGTCACCCACACCTCAATGACTGTTTCCCAAGATCGCCATATAGGAAAACTGCAGTTTGTGAGAGAACTATTGACAGTAAAGAACCATTGACACTTAATTAAGCCCAGTGTGTTTTGAATAATATTTAAATTCTATAGGACTTTCCAGTAACCAGGCAAGTTGGATTTTTATTGTTTAAAACATTTTTGACATTAATTTTCTTATGACTTATGTATTAACATTTTTTTTACCTGGGTAGAATTTAGATTTTTGCTAGAGTTAGTAGACAGCGATTGGTCCTTAAAACTTAATTATTGTTTACTGTATGATCACCCTTAATTTGCATTGATATGGCTGGATATGTCAGTAGGAAATGGAGTTTAGAAGAAATTAGGCATGTGGGTGTGTTACTTCTTTATACGGGAGAGAACCTAGAGGAGTATATAAGAGTTAAGTTCGAAGAACACGTACGGGAAGAGAGAGAGGATGAACTTAGAGCCAGAGAGGAAGAACGTATAGATAGAAAGAGAGAGGAAGAACTTAGAGCCAGACAGAAAGATCGTATATATAGAGATAAACAGAGTCAGAGACAATTTGAACTAGATAAACGTGATAGAGAAATTAGACTGGCAAAATTAGTGGCAGAACGACGGGAAATTATTTTAAAGAGACAGGCATATTATTATAGCGACAGTGACGATGACGAGAGTCAAGGGGAGGAAATATATTATGGCATTGCCAGCATTCACTGTGAGAATCCCTATAAAAATTTTAATAGAGTTTCTATTAATGTAAGTGAAAACAAATATGTGGATAACGGTGGACATACTCATGATCCTGACCCCAGGCAAGAGCCGGCCTCGCAACCACGGTTCATGGCTAAAGATACTGAGGAACAAAATGATAGTATTGCCTCTGCTGACGACTCAATTTTTTTAAATAGAAATGACAGTGATTTGTTAATTGGTCCGTCGGCTAACGTTAAAAGGGACATCGTTGACTGTGCTGACATACCCCCAGTGGCAAAGGGTACAGATATAGCTTTGGATTCATGTCAAAACGAGGTTGAAGTAGTTGGTGTATCCCAGGAAGTCCAATGTAAAGAAGAAAGGGGACGACAATTTAATAAGGTAGAAGTCATTGGAAATGACCTTAGGTGGACGTATGTAGGGGATTGTCCCAGCGTCACAGTATGTAATAAACTGGTGGTTATGGAAACGGGCTGTATTGAAAGCAAAGAGAACCCTGTTCTAATGTCTGAGGACATGATTTTTGTTGTATCTCATGGTGAGCCATCAGATAATGTAAGTCCTGAAGTTGATTTTTTGCGTGAAGTTGATGAGGTGAGTGTAATCCCTGAGGTGGGGGAAGGAGAGAAAATTGTTGTTGATAATTATTGTGATGTAAATGAGTCACTGTGTAATGTGAGCAAAGGTTGCTCAAATGTTGATATTTTTACAGAGATATGTACTGGTAATGAATATGAATTAGTTGATAATGTGAGCCAGGTGTGCTCAGGTTTTGATGTTACTGCAGAGATCTGCAATGAAAATGTATCACAAGTTGTTATGAGCAAGGGTTGCTCAGAATTTTATAGTATTACAGAGAGCTGTATTGATGATGAATCAATAGGTAGTGTGAGCCAGGGCTGCTCAGATTTTCAAATTGTTACGGATAATTGTAATGATAATGAATCACATGTAAATGTGAGCCAGGGCTGCTCAATTTTCATATTGTTACGGATAGCTGTAATGATAATGAATCACCTGCTAATGTGAGCCAGGGCTGCTCAAATTTTCATATTGTTACAGATAGCTGTAATGATAATGAATCACCTGTAAATGTGAGACAGGGCTGCTCAGATTTTCATATTGTTACGGATAGCTGTCCTGGATTGGCGACGTGCATCTAGTGTCCAAACACATCTGTCCTAGTTATGCGACGCACAGCTATTGTTCATACACATTTGTCCTGGTTTTGCGAAGCACATCTGTTGTCCATACACATTTGTCCTGGTGTGGCGACGCACTGCTATTGTTCATACACATTTGTCCTTGTGTGGCGACGAGCATCTAGTATCCATACACATTTATCAATTGATGTTTAGAACTTGACTGTAGTAATCTTTTGATAATTTCTATCTTTTTTTTTTTCTCGTGCCTATTGTTTCACACATTTCACAAAATTCATTTTTTACCTAAAATATTTCTCATTATAATTGTTTCCTTTAGAGATACAGTGTAACGTATTTCATTATATAATCCTTGAACATCTACAGAATGATGTGGATGAAGTGTATTCACTTAGTACTGGTAAGGAAATGATGGAAATCTACCGACTGATGTGGATAAAGTGCAGACATTGGCAAAAAGAAACAATGGACATCTACTGTATTATGTGGTTGAATTGTAGTAACCTTTTAAATTATCATTGACAATTTATTCAAATACGATGCGCATCAGATAAAAATGCGCAATAATGCCGTATGCTTTTCTTATCTTAACAATTGAAATCTGGCACAATGTCATAATTCCGTCAGTGAGTGTCGCGAGCCATAAGATTATACAATATTCACAAACTAAGTATTTCTAAAGGTGTTCCCAAAATTGTCAGAAATGCCACAACTCGTTGTCTTTTATGTTCTCTTTTCATCCACTAACCTGTGCTGTAGTGATTCTTTGATTGACAATGCTACATGGTCCACACGTTCTGCATATTATCGTCAATGACTTTTATCAGGTTTTTTGTTTTAAAATAGTGTTTGCTTTTTATTGATTTTTATTAAATTATTTTTGTATTTACTTTGTAAAATGAAATTATTTAATCTTTTATTGAAATTAATTTGTACTGTGGTGCCTGCAGTATTAAATAACCTAAAATGCCGACCAAGTTTTGGTTTTCCAAACCCCCTCCCCCCTTTTTTTTTTTGGGGGGGGGGGATCCTGACTGTTCGCCCATGGTAAAAAATGATAATATCTTGCATAATTAAACCTCGGTGCTTAAAGTACTCGACACAAGAAATCAGCTCTGAATTATTCCGTTTTGTAAATTAGGTCTGCATTTTAGATACGACTCTATCTGTGAGGGTGTCTTTATCTTTAAAAAATGTGAATATTTGAAATCGATATTTATACACAAAGTTAATCTCAATTAGATAAGCGTTAGCATATTTTTGGTTTTCTTTGAACACAATATGACTTATTCATACAACTCTTTAATGCCCAGTCTATTTTTCATTGTTTATGTGATTCATATAAATATGTGTCAAATAATATTTATATATCTTTTTTAATTTCATGCTCTTTCAATATTCTTTTATGATTTGTCTAATGATAATATATTGATAAATCAAATATCAACAAAAGTTTTCGACATTGTTAATTCCGCATATCTTAACATTTCACGGTGTTCCATTTCAATCAAATCACACATCTTGTTTAACAAACCGTTTCATGAATGCTATCATGTCAATATAACATATCAGTCAATATAGAGTTGGTGTAAATCATTATATTCCAAACCTTTTCTAACTGTTACTGCGGTCGTCGATAGGTAACAACCGGACTGGCGCACTGGGACACAGCTCTTTGACTGATGAGAGAATGTACAACAAGAGATTGGATACGATTTGCTTTAATGTCATTATGTAGTAGATGAATGTGGAATGCAAGCGACGTATACTAGTATAATGTATAATTAGTATTAAAGCTTAACATGTATTGTTATATTAAGACGAACTATTCGTGCCTAATGAATTTATTGATTAGTCAATGTGGAATGTAAACGATTTATGCAATTCTTTTTCTTTATTTTTGTGATTATGTACTAGACAAATGTGGATATAAACTGTCTATAAGATATCATTTGCTGGAATTTCATTATGTACCATATTAATGGTTAACATAAATTAATGCAATACAACTAAGACGTTTTAATTCAAGGAACGTTAATGATCATGAGTACGCTGACAAAAAGGTCCGAGTACTAGGGACAATTATTAACATGAGAATAGCTTTTTACTCTACAATTTCGAACTATTGAAAGTGTTTTCGTCGGGTTGAAATGGGTGAAGCTAATTTTATTTGAACATATTTTGATGGATTTAAATGAAAATTAAATTATTATTATAAAATAATGTATCAGATTTATACAACAAAATGACCTTTTAAATGTTATCATTAATGTAGAAACCAAGAATAATGAACGCGACCAAGTCGATTTTGAGTCGTACATCATTATGTTCTGTTCACACGACTCGAAACGACCATGGTGCTTGAAAGAAAAATCCTTGCAAATTCCAAAATGAATTTTGAAAACACCTCAAATTAAACTAGATGATTCGCCAAGTGATAATTCTAATGACTCGGAGACATACACATATGAAAAACCGTCAGGTTAAGACATGATTATTTCTTGACCTATCCAAGCACAGTTTAAGGTAAAGGGATTCCAGTTATCCTCATTTTTAGGTAAATTAATTTAATATTTTGTAATTTTCTTTTTTAAAAAAATAATAAAATATAATTTACAATTTAAGAACAGGTTTCTAATTATAGTCTTACACATTCAATGATGCCCTTGCTTTCCAAACGTGTTATGTCTTTAAAAATAAATAAAGAGTGTTTGAATAAAACTTCCGCTGATCATTCAGCAGATGTCTGATTAGCGAAGGGAAAGTTGTCATTCTTCGGGAGGGTGACTTACAGCGGTATGTTTGACTTACACCGGGATGTTTGACTTACACCGGGATGTTTGACTTGCACCGGGAGTTTTGACTTACACCGGGATGTTTGACTTACACTGGGAGGTTTGACTTACACCGGGAGGTTTGACTTACACTGGGATGTTTGACTTACACTGGGAGGTTTGACTTACACCGGGAGGTTTGACTTACACCGGGAGGTTTGACTTACACTGGGATGTTTGACTTACACTGGGAGGTTTGACTTACACTGGGATGTTTGACTTACACTGGGAGGTTTGACTTACACCGGGAGGTTTGACTTACACCGGGAGGTTTTGACTTACACCGGGAGGTTTGAATTACACTGGGAGGTTTGACTTACACCGGGAGGTTTGACTTACACTGGGATGTTTGACTTACACTGGGAGGTTTGACTTACACCGGGAGGTTTGACTTACACTGGGAGGTTTGACTTACACTGGGATGTTTGACTTACACTGGGAGGTTTGACTTACACTGGGATGTTTGACTTACACCGGGAGGTTTGACTTACACCGGGAGGTTTGACTTACACTGGGAGGTTTGACTTAAACTGGGATGTTTGACTTACACTGGGAGGTTTGACTTACACTGGGAGGTTTGACTTACACCGGGAGGTTTGACTTACACCGGTAGGTTTGACTTACACTGGGATGTTTGACTTACACTGGGAGGTTTGACTTACACCGGGAGGTTTGACTTACACTGGGAGGTTTGACTTACACTGGGATGTTTGACTTACACCGGGATGTTTGACTTACACCGGGATGTTTGACTTACACCGGGATGTTTGACTTAAACCGGGAGGTTTTACTTACACCCGAATGTTTGACTTACAACAGGATGTTTGACTTACACCGGGATGTTTGACTTACACCGGGATGTTTGACTTACACCGGGATGTTTGACTTAAACCAGGAGGTTTTACTTACACCCGGATGTTTGACTTACAACAGGATGTTTGACTTACACCAAGATGTTTGACTTACACCGGTATGTTTGACTTACACCGGGATGTTTGACTTACACCGGTATGTTTGACTTACACCGGGATGTTTGACTTACACTGGATGTTTGACTTACACCGGGATGTTTGACTTACACCGGATGTTTACACTTACACCGGATGTTTGACTTACAACAGGATGTTTGACTTACACCAAGATGTTTGACTTACACCGGTATGTTTGACTTACACCGGTATGTTTGACTTACACCGGGATGTTTGACTTACACCGGGATGTTTGACTTAAACCAGGAGGTTTTACTTACACCCGGATGTTTGACTTACAACAGGATGTTTGACTTACACCAAGATGTTTGACTTACACCGGTATGTTTGACTTGCACTGGGAGGTTTGACTTACACCGGATGTTTGACTTACACCGGATGTTTGACTTACACCGGGATGTTTGACTTACACTGGGAGGTTTGACTTACACCGGGATGTTTGACTTACACCGGATGTTTGACTTACACTGGGAGATTTGACATGAACTGGGAGGGTTGAATTTAACTATGAGCGTTGTCTTTAACAGGGAGGGTTGTCTTTTAAATGGATTGTTGTCTTTCCCCGAGAGAGTTGAGTTAAACCTGGAGGGTTAGACTTGCATTGGGAGCTTTGTCTTTCAACGGAGGGGTTGACTTTCACCTTGATGTTTTGCCTTGAAAGGAGGTGTTGACTTTCAAAGGTGTTGTTGACATTTAGTTTGACTTTCACCAATGGTGTTAACTTTCAACGGGGTGTTGACATCCACCTGGAGAGTTAACTTTTATGTGGTGTTGACTTTCAACAGGATTGTTGACTTTCAAAGAGAGATTTAACTCTTTTTTTTATTATTTAACTGTAAAACGGTTTCGAATTTCAACGAAATATTTTGCATTCCAGGGGGTGTGGGGACATGACTTAGTTTTTTTTCTTTTACTATACAAGTTCAATAATTAACGTATACCTTAACGCTGAAGTGTTGTCCCGTTGGACAGGATTTTTCCACTCCTTTGTAATTATTGCATTCATAATACTTGGAACATGATGTAGGATAGGAAACTTTGCCATATTTCTTATCCTCGCAAGGATTAGAACCTGAAATGTATTTGTATGACTATTATTCAATTTGTGTATACTGATTAAATGTATCTTTCAAAAAACTATGTTGAATTATGATCGAACTTAATGGGTAATGAATGCGTCCTATCTGATGCCCAAGCAAATATGTACATTTATATTGACATGTTAAGCTACATATATTTACGAGGCTGTTTATTCTGAATCTGCCTGAATAAACACTCTGTAAGCTCTTACTTGTAAAGCGTCTATCAGATCAAGTAAAAGCAAACCGATTTTGAATTGAATTCAATTGTTTAGTCAGGTAGTTCAGATAATGTCTTTACATAATCAAACATTACATTATATTATCTTTTTTTTTTTTTTTTTTTTTTACTAAAAAATCTAATATGTTCAATGACCCTTCTAAAGAGACGCAACTGGAGATTCTAAAGATGGCAAAGCTTCACTTAGGTTAACAATTTAGTTCCCATTGGTAGATTTAAGCCTTCGATATTTCATTGGAAACTTCTATTTAAAAAAAAAATAATGATACAGTTCAGATGAATACAAAGAATAAATGCGAATATGGTGGTAAAGTTATCAGGTGAACAAATGTTAAATGCCTACATGAAGTTGAAGCAAAGCCTTCACAAAGTGGAAGCAAAGCCTACATCAAGTTGAAGCTAGGCATACATCAAGTTAAACCAAGGCCTATATTGAGTTGACGCAACGTCTTCACAAAGTGGAAGCAAGGCCTACATCAATTTGAGCCAAGAAACTAGGAAATGTATAACGTGTCAACTCCTAAGTTAAAGGTCTACACCAATTTAAAACATGGCCTACATCAAGTTGAACCAACGCATATATCATAGTGAACAATGAAAATTGACTAAATAACATGTCAACTGTAACGCTTAAGTTCAGTGCATACATCAAGTTTAACCATAAAACTAGACTACGAATTGCATGTGATCTCGTATTTTAATGGCCTACATTAATTTAAACCAAGCCCCATATCAAGTTGAACCAACGCCTATATTAATTTGAACCAATGCCTGTGTCAAGTTTAACCAAGGCCAATATCATTTTGAAAGAATATCTATATCAAATTGAGCCAACGCATATATGAAGTGGAACCAGGCCTATATCAAGTTGAACAAAGGCATATATCAAGTTGAACCAAAGCCTACACCAAGTTGAACTAAGGCTTGCATCCAGTTAAACCAAGGCCTATATCAAGTTGAACCAAGGCCTATCACAAGTTGAACCAAGGCTTGTATCCAGTTGAACTAAGACCTAAATCAAGTTGAACCGAAGCCTATATCAAGTAAAATCAAGACCTAGATCAAAGCAACCAAGGCCTATATCAAGAAGAATGAAACATTTAGAAAATTAAACGAAATTTTTATGAAAACATTAAAAACTAAAGGTTCCAATATTTCTAATTAGAATAATTCTTACCATGGCAGGTCACCGAGACATAATAGATTATAACACAAATTATTACCTGAAAAGCTCACCGGGTCGTAAGGGCTTATTACAACATTTCTTACCTTGACAGTTCACCTGGACTAATTGGCTCATTAGAAAAAGCAGCAATGCAGATGTCTGTGTAAAAATAGAAAGATCTTAAAATCTAAGGTCGACAGTTTTAATAATAATCCCCATCACGTGTGCGTGAGTGTCATTAGCCATGTGTATGTGTGTGATTGGCCTGGCGCATTTGTACGGTTAGCCATGTGTATGTGTACGGTTAGCAATGTGTATGTGTATGGTTAGCCATAGTACGTGTACGGTTAGTTATGTGTATGTGTACGGTTAGCCATGTGTTTGTGTACGGTTAGCAGTGTGTTTGTGTAAGGTTAGTTATGGACAGGTGTGTGGTTAGTCATGTGTATGTGTGCAGTTAACCATATTCACGTTTTCGGCTAGCCATGTGTATGTTTGAGGTTAAACATGTGTATGTTTGTGAATTTTCATATTAATATTAACCGTTAGCCATGTGTATGTGTGCGGTTAACCATGTGTATGTGTAAAATGAGACGTGCGTATGTGTACAGTTAGACATGGTTATGTTTAATGTAAGCTAAGTATATGTGTGTAGTTGGTCATATGTACAATTTTATTTGCCATGTGTATGTGTGCAGTTTGTTACGATCTTCTTTGTACCTTCGTAACTTCAAATGTTACGACCTTAATTTATACTTGACGTGTTACGGCTCTCTCTTGCTTTGTCTAGGGTATATGACTCTCACATAAAACGCAAAGGTCCAGTGTAACAATATATATAGATAGAATATTTATTAGGTTCTTTACAAACAGCATACACATCAGTCTAACAATCTTGATGACTAACAATTCTCTTGCTCTGCCTTTTTTCCCTGTCTCTCCCTGTCTCCCACTGACTTCTGACTCTCACTGACTCGGACTGCCCTCTAGCTAACACACATCCCTTTTATAAAACCCACACAACAACTCAGCCTACACAAACGTGCCACACCACGGACTAACTTCACGGTCAGCCATGTGCATGCGGTTGGTAAACCATGTGTATTTGTGTTTTAGCTGTGTTTATGTGTGTGGTTAGCCATGTGTATGTTTTTGATTAATAATGTGTATGTGTGCAGTTAACCATGTGTAAGTGTACGGTTAGCCATTTGTATGTGTATGGCTTGACATGTGTATTTTTCAGGTTAGCAATGTGTATGTTTGCTGTTAGCCACGTGTGTGCACGCGGTTTGTGTTTAACAAGTTGTATATATGCATTTAACCATTTGTATGTGTATTTTTAGCCAAGTGTATGTGTATGGCTAGTCATATGTATATGTGCAGATAGACATGTTTATTTTTGTCGGTAAATATGTGTAAGAGTAGGATGACAACAAAAGTTTCTATTTTTTGGAAAGGCTGACGTCAAAATGAAACCTTACAATGGTTGTGTATATTAATGCGATAGGTCATTACAAAGGTTTGACACATAATTGTGGTATTTCTTTACAAAGGTCTTGTACATCAATGTAGTAGTTGATTAAAATGGTTTGGTATATCAATGTTGTAGTCCATTACAAAAGATTGGTACATCAATGTTATAGTCCATTACAAATTTTTGGTAGCTCAATATTGTAGGACATTACAAAGCTGTGGTACACATATATTGAAGTCCATACAATGGTTTGGTACATCAATGTAATAGTCAAATACAATAGGGGTGAAACATCAATTTTTTGTCCATTACAAAGGTATTGTACATCAATGTTTTAGTCCTATCTAAAGGTTTGGTACGTAAAAGATCTAGTCCATTACAAAGGTTTTGTACATTAATGTTGTAGTCCATTTTAAAGTTTTTTTACATTAATGTTGTAGTCTATTACAATGGTTTGGTACATTAACGTTGTTGTCCATTACAAAGGTGTGAAACATCAATTTTCTAGTCCTTTACAAAGGTTTGGTACTTCAATGTTGTAGTCCTTTACAAAGTTTTGGTACTTCAATGGTGTAGTCTTTTACAAAGGTTTGGTACTTCAATGGTGTAGTCCTTTACAAAGGTTTGGTACTTCAATGTTGTAGTCTTTTACAAAGGTTTGGTACTTCAATGTTGTAGTCTTTTACAAAGGTTTGGTACTTCAATGGTGTAGTCGATGACTGAACTTTGATAAATCAATGTTGTAATCCATTATAAAGGTTTATTACATCAATGTTGTAGTACATTACACATGTTTGGTACAATAGTGGTGTAGCCCATTACAAAAGTTCTGTACCTAAATGTTGTAGTCTATTATAAAGGTTCGGTTTTGTGACAGACTGCCCTGAGGAAGACGGTTGTGGGTCAGGTTGTTTTGTGACCGACTGTTATGATGTAGACCGTTCTGGGGCAAGCTGTTTTGTGAAATACTTTTATGAGAAAAACCGTTGTGAGGCAGACTGTTCTGAGATTTGCTTTTCTTATTCATTCCATTAAGTTGCAACTCTTTTGAGTTATGACAGTTCTTATTCAGGCTGATCTGAGCCACGCTTTTATGAGGAATAGGGATTAAGCTATACTAACTCAAGCTGTGCTATGACAGACTGTTCTTTGGCATGGCGTTTCATAGAAGGAAGGTGTGAATTAAGGTTAGTTAGGCTTTTAGGGATTAAGCTATACTAACTCAGGCTGTGCTATGACAGACTGTTCTTTGGCATGGCGTTTCATAGAAGGAAGGTGTGAATTAAGGTTAGTTAGGCTTTTAGGGATTAAGCTATACTAACTCAAGCTGTGCTATGACAGACTGTTCTTTGGCATGGCGTTTCATAGAAGGAAGGTGTGAATTAAGGTTAGTTAGGCTTTTAGGGATTAAGCTATACTAACTCAAGCTGTGCTATGACAGACTGTTCTTTTGCATGGCGTTTCATAGAAGGAAGGTGTGAATTAAGGTTAGTTAGGCTTTTAGGGATTAAGCTATACTAACTCAGGCTGTGCTATGACAGACTTTTGTAAGGCAGACCGTCCTGAGGTAGGCTGCTAGGATGCATGCCGCTCTGTTTTAGTTTATTTTCAGTCAGTCTATTCTAAGTCAGGCTTATCTGAGACAGGCTGATCTGAGGAAGGACAGTCTGTGGCACGCTTTTCTACCAAAGATCTTTCTTAGGCCGCCTGTTCTATAGACGGACAGGTTGTTCTTTGATATCACATACAATCGGAGGCTGTTATAAGGCAAGAAGTTTTAAGGCAGTCTGTTCTGAGTCAGGATGGTCTGAGGCAGGCTGTGTGAGCCAGACTTTTGATTTATTGTCTGAGACGTTCTTTCTAAGTGCATTCTAAAAATTGCATTGGGACATGTAATAGACAATGAAAGCTTCCAATGTTTATATCTATTTACTTGACTCACCAAAACAGCCATGGTCCTGGACTAAGTTGTAACTAAACCTCCAAAAGCGTGTCGTTGTTGGCGGAGGATTGAGATAGCAATTGAATCAACAGAATGTACTGAAGTAGTTGAGATACCAATTGAATTGTCAGAATGTACTGAAATAGCTCCCTTCTTGCCACGTATGTTAGCTTTTCAATTTAGATGACCTTCTCACATGAGAGGTTCTCAAATGTTGGCATTGATTATTTCATTTCTGCAGGCTGACTTTAAAACAAAGGTATTTTAAACGTCCTTCAAATGATTTTAATGGAGTTTATTAAATGAGTTCAACCTTATGTTGTTTCATGCGGTCAACATGACCTAGAAGAACTTTTCTTTTATGTCTTAATTAAAAAAATCTTGAATGGAGTAAAGTATTTTGAAATTAAAATAGATTCAGATCAAAAGCAAAGACTGCAATTATGGAGAATAGACCGAGTCAATAGATTCATTACTACAAATAAATAATATTTCTACAATTAAAGTTTCAGTGTCAAAACAAATGCAGATAATAGAAGACTTTCTGTAATAGGCATTGAAATGTAACGTAATGGAGGTGCAGTATGCTTGAAAGGTTTCAATAATTAAGTGAAGTTTAGATGGGCACATGAATAATATGCACCTACTTTATATGAAAGGTTTCAATAATTAAGTGAAGTTTAGAGGGACACGTGACCAACATGCGGCTACTTTATATGAAAGGTTTCAATAATTAAGTGAAGTTTAGATGGGCACATGAATAATATGCACCTACTTTATATGAAAGGTTTCAATAATTAAGTGAAGTTTAGAGGGACACCTGACCAACATGCGGCTACTTTATATGAAAGGTTTCAATAATTAAGTGAAGTTTAGAGGGACACCTGACCAACATGCGGCTACTTTATATGAAAGGTTTCAATAATTAGGTGAAGTTTAGAGGGACACCTGACCAACATGCGGCTACTTTATATGAAAGGTTTCAATAATTAAGTGAAGTTTAGAGGGACACCTGACCAACATGCGGCTACTTTATATGAAACAACAAATGTGCATAATTTAAAAAAAAACAAGTTTTAAACTTGTCTAATATGAGGGTACGCTTGTCCCAAATCTGAGAACCAATGAGGATCTATGATGAAACATGGCTTTTAATTTAATGCGATTAGAAATATGAGACAAGCCAATAAACATTTGTCAGAGTTAAAGATGTGTTTGTGTGGGTTGAAAAAAAAATAGCACAGGGGCTGCTCATGACTTATGTTAGTGGGGGTGTGGCTACTGGAAAATGTTCAACAATATTTTAATGTTGTTTTCGGGGGAAAAAACGACATAAAAACAGAGATACATGTATTATGGCAAGGGTCTGAAAAGAAACTAACTTTAGCTTGTATTTTTGATGATGAAAAATTGAATATATTATGATAACAACTTGTATGTGTGACGATGAAAACTTGTTTCTAAGACGATGAAAACTTGTATATATGACGATGACAATTTGCAGATAAGACGATAAAAACTTATATATGTATATGACGATGACAACTTGTACAAATGACGATGAAAATTGTTTATTTGAAGATGAAAATGTACATATATGTAACAATTACAACCAATGACGATAACAACGTGAGTATTGATTTTGTTGTAATACTATTAAATAATATTTACACGTATCAAATAAAGAAATAACAAAAAAATTAGTGCAGTTTATGTTATTAATCAATTTTGTGTGCAACTGTGGTTGTTGCAACTTCCCAGTGCTATAGTAGGAGCCGCCTTTGAATTCTCATGTGCAAAACGTATTATCTCTTCTTGGCCCTACTTCATTATTAAGCTAGAATGGATCTGTCGGATCAAACATCACACAAGTTTTTGTTTTTTCATTATTTTTTTTTTTACACCTATGTACTTTTCAAAATAAGATAGACCTATTTTACGTTAATTTAAAGATAAATCTATATGCCATGCAAACCAAGATAAATCTATGTTCTACGCATATTGAGATAAATCTTTGTTCCCTGCAAACCAAGATAAGCCTACGTTCCATGCAAACAAAGATAAACATAGGTTTCATTTTAAAAAAAATAAACCTATGTTCCATGAAAACAAAGATAACCTTATGTTACTTACAAACATAGATAGACCTTTATTCAATGCCAACAAAGTTAAACCTACATTTCATGCAAACAAAGATAAACCTTACGTCCATGCCACCAACAATAAACGTTTGTTCCTTACAAACAAAGATAAACATATGTTCAATGCAAACAAATGTGTCTACAAACCGATGTAATATTATGATTGGATTATTTGCTGCTTGGAATTTAATATGTTTTAGTCACATCCATTTTCAATTAGAAGACCATGCCGTCATATGTCATGTAAATTCTAACCAAACGATTGACATTATGTTCATCACCCAATTCATACGTTTAGAAACAAATTGTTGTCTTTGAATACACCCCTAAACAAAGTTTTTTAATCATTGACATCAAAACTAAATAACTGTTACGGTCTATGTTAATTATCTCATTTTATAAATTAAATGATTGATTGAGTCATTACAAATTGGACAATTGTGATTGAAATTTCAAATGTCGTTTAACAATGGCCGACTATTTGAAAATTTAAATGGGTTGTATGATGGACTGCCTTACAGTGAGGTTCTCAATGGTTTTATGATGTTCTGCCTTACCAGAGAGGTTCTCAATGGTTTTATGATGGACTGCCTTACCAGAGAGGTTCTCAATGGTTTTATCAAGGACTGCTTAATCAGCGAGGGTCTCAATGATTTTATGATGGACTGCCTTACAGTGAGGTTCTCAAGAGTTGTTTCATTGACTGACTTACCAGAGAGGGTCTCAATGGTTTTATGATGGACTGTCTTACCAATGAACTTCTCAATGGTTTTATGATGGACTGCCTTACAGTGAGGTCCTCAAGAGTTGTTTGATTGACTGACTTACCAGAGAGGTTCTAAAATGGTGCTATGATGGACTCCCTTACCAGTAAGGTTCTAAATGGTCTGATGATGGATTCGCTTACCAGTATGGTTCTAAATGGTTTTATTGTGGGCTGCCTTACCAATGAAGTTTTCAATGGTTTTATGATGGACTGCCTAACCAGAGAGGCTCTCAATGGTTGTATGATGAACTGTATAACAAGAGAGGTTCTCAATGGTCTCATGATGGACTTCTATACTAGAGAGGTTGTCAATGGCTTTTTGATGGACTGCCTTACCAGAAAGGGTCTCAAAGTTGACATGATGGACTTCCTTAACAGAGAAATTATACATGGTTGCATGATGGACAGGCTCGCCAGAGTGATTCTCAATTGTTTTGTTATGGACAGCCTTACCAGTCATATTCTTACATTGAAATTAAATATTTTTGTTATCAGACTATATATTTCCACATTGATTTAAACGAAACATATCAACTGAATATCTTTTAATGTTCCTTTATTGTAGTATTAGTTATAGACATGTTCACATTGTTGTTTGTCTCAGAGGATGCTGATATACGGATGTTTGAAAAATTGTTTGTGTACATGTCAATCAATGTTCTACACCAGATGTTCTAAACCAGGGATCGCCTAAGACTATCTTAAAACACATATACTCCTCTACAGTTGTGAAGTAGCAACGAAAATAATGTTTTGTTGCGGTCACCACAAATTGAGGAACTGCATTACAGGGTCGCGACATTACGAAGGTTAAGAATCACGGTTCTAGATCATAGCTCTTGAGCTTAGAAACGGACTATTTACGATCATTTTATAACTGAACAAAGCTACTTATGACGTACCTAATGAATTTACAACATCTTAATGGAATCATTATTATGTGACGTGAAAACGAAGTGGGTTGGGGGGAGGGGACCAAACATTTCTAATCTGATGACTAGTTAAGTGGAGCTTAAAATTAAGGTTGCACCGATAAATGGGCCTCAGAAAATTGGCCTGAGATAATCGGCCTGAAATAAGCGGCCTGAGATAATCGGTCTGAGAAAAATGGCCTAAAATAAACGCTTTTGAGATAATCGGCCTGATATAATAGCCCTATGCAAAAACATCTGTCGTCCAATGAGGACTATTTATTAAAATTGAAAATCTAAAATGCATTGTATTAATATATATGGGGTATTTTTGGAATATGTCATAAATTGTTAACAGCAAAGCTACGTTTGAACAAACGGGATAAACGCTAAGCCATTTGTATGAAAATAATGGGGTCAAGAGACATTCGAGATAACTAGAAATTTTTCAAAAATTTGAACCTTAATTTTGAAAAGTAATTATATATCAATCAATATTTTACAAATTTATATCTCGAAACATAAACTCTTCACGATATAGAAATCATATCTGCATGCTTAGCGTGGAAACATATATAAACATAAACATATATAAGTATATATCTTTGCACTATAAAAGATGTCGATTGATGAGTGGAAATGATAGGGGTCTAAGTCTAAGTGCGGAAAGGTAGTACAGTCTCCAGCGATCTGCCGCAAGGTGTGAGGCCCGTGCACGCATAGTCGGTCCACCGCAGGCCTGATCCTTAGTGTGGTTCTTAAACCAAAACAAAGATCTCAGTCGTTTTCTCAAACTACTCTAACTTTAAGCACAGTGATTTCACGTCGCCTGTAAGACTAAGCGTAAGGTAAATCGGTAGGACACTGAAAAGCTTCCATCAGATATGATACTGATAAAACATACGAAGCCATGATAGACACTTCCGGCTGGTAAAAACAAGAACAAAGTACAGGAGCTCATCATTCCTGTCGAAGACAATAGGGGACATGAACAAGCTTCCAAAAGCAACAGTTGAGGCGGCTAAACTCGGCACATTTGTGTATATTGCCTCCTGTATTCCAACCCATATTTCATAACACCACTGCTGCGTCGCCCATGAAACCAGTGAAGCATCACATTGAAACACATGTACAGTAACATCGCAATCCCCTCTGAAACATAGGAGCCAGAATGATCAATTCATTGATCGTGGGCCCTCAAAATAAAGAAGAAGAAGAAGAAGAAATAAGAAACATTAACCTCTTCGTGGTTGACTATCGAACACACATATACAGGTGAAGGTCTGAGATGACTCTCTTATGACCCC